CATATATATATATTAGGGTAGTATGTTAAGCTTCCAACAAATGCATTACTTCGAACAGATTAACCACAAATAAGTCAATCAACAATGCTTTTAAATTCCGCTACTTCTTTTCAAATAACCAACTTATTATAAATTATCGAATAGATCATGATATACCAACATGTTGCTTAATGTTACACGGTTTATTGCTTTATTGGCGGTTTTATTTCGTAATTTTGATAACTTTGTCGTTTTTCTATCCATTCAAACTTAATTTGCAATAAACTTCACTCGAAATGTATAGTCACCTCCTAGCGTTCAAATAAAGATAACTGTTTCCCATCATGACCTTAGTACTATATCACAATTCCATTAACTATATGTGCAAAAAATTGCCGTTCAGACAATTTATGCTTAGATTTTACTGATTTTGTTATGTTCACCTATTTACTATAAAGGTGAGGATTCGGTTTTACTTTCTTTAAAGCAGCTCCTTCAAATCGCTGGCGATTGCGTAATCGCTCTGGGCTAATTTCAAATGATCAAGTTGAAGATCCTAATGGATTAAATCTTACCACAATACCTTCTACATCTGTTGGAGTATCTAGTGTTGTAAATCGTGTTCGAGATCAACAACAGCGTTGGAAAGGAAATGTTGAAGCACAACGTACTCGTGTCTTCAGCGAACGTAGTTTACTAAATTAACATGTAGTATAACAATTTATTTAAATCTTTTTTCATCAGTGATTTCTTTACTGACAATATAACATTAATTAGGAGCCCTGGGTAACTGGTCTGAAACCTATATGACTGTTGATTTTCTCCTATATTGTTCATTAAAAAATAAATAATGGACTAGCTTTAGAAAGCTAAAATATAATTTCTAAATCTCATTGGAATACTGAACTGTGTATATATACAATAATTTTTTGGTCAACGTTATTTATTTGCTTAATTGAAACTTTTTAACCTCATATACTTAACTATTTGTTGCATAATCAAACTAACAACTTTTGTTCATGATTCGTGGACTTGACTGTAATTCATTAATATTCATTATTCAGTTTTATCCTACTTTTTCATTCAATTGCAGTCACAAGATGTAAAATGCAAATATTTGTCACGTTAAGATCCGGTATTTCACAGTGCTTTGTAAATAAATCAAATGAATACATTCTATCTTAAGAAATATATAAATCTGTCTAGTGGTCATATTAATTCGTGATTACCGACTACCCTTAAGAACAATACTGGGGACAAAAGCATCGCAGAATGTGTCAAAATCATGTTAGTATAGATGATCTTTGTTTTGTCAGTAATCATTTTCTCTTACGGCCATCAAAAGTAGAGTATAGGAAAGTTTAGACAGTGTTGCTGAGACGACGAAAGTGTAAGATTGCTACAGTTGTCTCGCAGATATTTGCAGCTCAGGTGAATTTGATGGACACTTAAAATTCACATTTGGGAATTTAAAAACCCTGGCCTCGGACCAATGAGCATGAGGTCCAGGATGTTCAGAGATTAAGTAGCTTATTATGGGATTGTATCTTATATTATCTCGTGTACCAGACGTTTATTTGAAAAGCTCAGGGGTGATCCTCTATGGAAACCACCTGATTCGATTTGACTCTAGCCTTCACATCATTATTGATGGTTGGTAATATATATAATGAACTAATTACCCAATACATTAAGCTTCACTAATCGTAACTTTTCGTAAGGAAATTTATTTTGTCTTTCAACAATTTAATTTATATATGGCTCGTAGATTATAAGTATAAATGGCTGATGATGTGTCATACGTCTCCCGCCTAGAGGTTACGCTTACATGATTATAATGGGTGAATACTGCTTATGGATTTGGTAACTGAGCACTGAATGACTTTCAAGCCAAACAAAACTTGAAACCAAGGTGAGTATGACTCCTAAAATTTGCGTTCGTTTTTAGTGACGATAAATATTATCCACCAAATCGTTAATTTTATAATGTCAATATAATAAATCTAGTGTTGGAGGGAAAATGGCTGGTGAATTGTTGAGACGTTATGATTTGCGACGTCCGATTTACCATTTTTTATCCAACGTGGGCGTAAGTGTATCTGTTTCCAATTATTATAAATTCCAACTAATTCCGTAGATCTTTTAGACCGACCCCAGTGTATAATTAGATTCACTTGGAGATGAGATTTAAAAGGGGTTTCGTACAAAATATTTTAGGAATGGTTATATCCCAGGTACTTGACCAGTAGACCAATAAGTTTAAAATATATAGGAAGTGAGTGTTGAATTATGTACTGTATAGATTAATGTGTCAGTCAATTGTGAGGTGTGAATCGATATAGAAATTAATCATTGTAGTAGTTGTACTGTTAGTTTATGTGGTTTAAAAAATGCTAATGAGTGGTAGAGAAATAAACAAAATCAACACATGAAAATTGTACATGAGGAAAGACATTATTAAACGTGAATAAGTACCAAATAATTAATAGAGTTGGAATGATACATTTCGTGGTTACATGACTGTTCCGCCTTATCCCAGTTCATTTACAGGTTGTATTAAATCCTACCGAGGCATCCAACCACACGAATCACTTACGCGTGAAAATCGAATTCCAATATATATTTTATTTAGTGAATAGTTATATCATTACAAAATATATTTAGATTGGTGACAAACCTCAACTTGTGAGGTATTTATGGCAGTTAATGTGTCTGTGTATATTAAAGAGAAAAATGCTTCCTTCAGTAATTACCCAGAAATTATCTACAACATACAATGGTGTAAATAAAGTCGTCAGCTGACTAAGGTCGTTGGTGACTGATAACAATCGAACAAACGACAAGAGCACAAAATATGGAAGCTGTTCTGCCGAAACAAAAAATAGAGTAAAGGTTACTTGTCTACGCAGGTACTTAAGAACAATTTGTGATAAGAAATACACGTCCCACACCACATTCTCAAAGTTGATGCCCACAAATGCCCTGGTACGGCCGACAGTGGGGAGAGTCCGCTCTCCCTCTCGAAATGCTCTCACATGGCCACGCGTATATAGCCTCTGCCGGGGAAGTCCTACTCACTGCCTTCTCGCGGCGTGGGTGTTATTTACGAAATTGAGAGGACGAAAAGAGAATTCCGGCACATTAACCGGGTTGGTGGACACGGAGAGTTCACCTAGGGAAGTTGGAATACCCTGATTCTAAATCGATGGTGCCCATGGGCTCCAGTATCCTGACAGAACAAATGGCGTATGAACCAATTGTTGGTCACTGGCCACCATGGGACGGCATCTCCTTACAATGCTCCACTGCCTTGTGGATCTGACCTTTAGGTCGAAGCTTCCGGGTATGGCCCCCTAAGAAAACCACCTGCTTCGGTTTGGCTACCCGGGTAGTATCACAGCCCTCAAATATGTATCTGGTTCCCCCTTGTATCAATATGTGTTCAAATAAATGAATCTCAAAGTTGATTAGATATGAAACTCGTTACTGAATATCAGTAAGTAGTATAGAGCAACACAAAACAAGAGGTGAACAAGAAGATCAAGACAGAATTAGAACAAAGGTAACATCTTATACAAACTTTATACATAAATTTATCCCTGCAAAACTGAGAGCTCGTGTATGTATATACACTCTGTTTCAACTGAATTGTATAAGGCTGATAAATCATTGCAAAGTGCAATGCCTACATTTTGATTTCGACACATTACGCCAAACTGTGTACCAACGACCAAATATGGTTGCTCTAATGGTAAACAGAAACTTTTTTCGTATAGTTTATTTCACTCACTTATTCGTTATAACTATAGTCCATTCCATTTTCTCTATTGAAGAAATTCCCTTGTTTTCATTCGATGTCATGAATTATGTAATTAAGTAAATAAAAAAAACTGTTGATATATAATTTCTACATTACAAATTTAAAGTAAAGTATTTTCGAACGTTCAACATTTAGCATTTTAAGCACATTAAGAAACAATAGGCTTTCTTTATATAAATCAGTCGAATTCACTATTTCCAACTAATTGTTTATTTCGTATAAATACCTCATACTAAAGTAAAACTATGTACCCTTGAAACAGATCCTATCTTCAAATAGAACATTCTACCCTGTAGATATTAATATGATTATTAATGGAAATAAATATTCTCCTTCAACATTAATTGACAACTAAATTTTATTGCCAACTTAAATAAACTTTTTTAAAATTTGACTATCATTTTTTTCTGTTCAACAAACTGTGTGGATAATATACTTCTTGTGAAGTTTAAATAGGCGAGACTTTAATTTATAGATGAACCAATCAGGTATAAGATATTAGGTTTCGGATTTTGGCGCAAAATTTACTCATCCATTTGGCTAAATAACGTTTTGCTATTATAGTTGATATCAGTTCATGATGAAAATCCTAAATCTAATTCCTAACTTAAACCACTAACTATAAATCATAATACGAATTCCTCATACTAATTTATAGCCCTCATTTGGTCCTACTTATCAGGTAGACATTCTCAAGGTCAGTCTAGCATCGCTCAAAGGTCATTCATAAATGATAGTCTCATCCTTAAATATCATGAGTTCAGTTGTAGAAAGAAAATGGCCGTCCAGTGCTTCCAGGTTTTCCATGGTGGTCTAGCTTCAATTGACTCATGATTTCAATCTGTGAGATTTCTAAAATCTCCACAAACCTCTTCTGATAATAATCATCTGCTCACTAGTGACTGACTTCAAGAGATACACCTGGAGTTCTAGTGAGAAGCTGTTACCAATGGAGTTCGACCAGGTCTGGTGTGAGATAGTAACTCACTGAAGACAATGGTGTACGGTGGCGCAACTCCGTGGATTGGTTGAAGTTAGACATTAACACCATTGGATGCCGGTTCAGTGGTCTAGTTGGTTAAGAGCTTGGCGCGAGACTGATAGGTCCTGGGTTCGGATCTCGCGGGGTGTGGGATCGTGGATACGCACTGCTGAGGAGTCCCATACTAGGACGAAACGGCCGTCCAGTGCTTTCAAATTTTCCATGGTGGTCTAGCTTTAATTGGCTCATGATTTCAATCTGTGGAATATTGAATAAATTGATAAAATCACTTTACGAAATTTTAAAGTACATTTAGATGTTTTAGTAAAATTTCATATGAATGAACTGCTTTCCAATATTGATGCAAAAAAAGAAAAAGAAATGCATGTTTACCTATCATTTTTGTTTATTCAAAACAATTACGTCTATTACACATTAACATTATTTATATGTAAAAGGATATGTTTATTTCCATTTGTATTTCACATTTGAAACTGGATATTTTATGATTATGTATGTTAACTAATAAATTAGTTTATTCATCAAATATTACTTTTAATTGCTAAGAGAAATTAGCCTGTGTACCCGTGTATATATATATATACATAGATATGTTGGAGAACACTGAAATTATTCCAAGTATTATAACTGTCTAACTGTTCAACTTACAATTCGTATTTAGAAATGAATTTCTTTACACTTTACGTAACTTTAGTGTACACCATTCTCAGCGTGCATTCAAACATTGAACCACGTAAGTATTATTTTCTAATGAAGCTTTATTGTAACATATTAAAAGAAATATAACTATCGAAAAATCTAATAAAGATTCAAATACTGATAACCAATTATATTTCATAATGTACTTCTTCTAGACAATCAATATAAGAAATTGTATAGTTTTAAAGAATTAATAATGGATACATAGTCATATAATCAGATCTTTACCGGCTTATAATTCTCGGTCAGTTGTTTTGTAAATATGCTCACATTATAGCAATTTATTTTAAATAATTGATAATGTATTTATACTCCATTTATTCACACAAAGTTGAATACATCAAAATACAAAAAAATGAGCGTAACATTATAATTTAATAGTTGAATTTCATAAGTCAATTGAAGCTAGATCACCATGGAAAACTTGGAACTACTGGACGGTCATTTAATCCTAGTATGGGATTTCTCAACAGTGCGCATCCATGATCTTGCCTCACGAGATTCAAACCCAGAACTTATCAGTCTTACACGCGAACACTTAACCTTTAGACCACTGAGCCAGTATCCAACGGTGTTATCGTCTAACTTCAACTAATCCACCGTTTACCATAATATTATAAGTTGTTGCAATATTCTCTAGTATGATAACCATTATTTATAGTTCATCTTTCCTAATAATAAATTCATAATTTGGAAATGCTGTTTTATTTGCAGTTATAGAAAAAGTAAATTATTACAAGTAAGAATTATTAATGATAAACAAATTATAAACATTTTTTTTTAAAACAAATTACATTTTATCATAATAAATGTAATTCAATATCTATCAATTATTATTCATTTAAATAAGGCTGTATTATGTAACACTTAAGGATGCTTCAATGTGTAATCGTAATGATATCACGCTTGCAATTTCACTTATTAATTCAAATTGATCGGTTTTTTTGTTATGTTATCAAGTTTCAATCTGTATTTGAATTATTATATACAGTAAGACTATTGTGTACATTAGGCAAATATCACTTTATGAAAGTCTAGAACCTGAAGTTTGTGCTGATAATGTCGTTCAGAAGAACTATGAAAGCTCCACGACTGAACTATCCAGCTCAGAGGACAAAAATTTATCAAAAAGTTTAGAACATCATGTTAGTATGTTTCTAACATCTATTTACCTTGAACTAAAACAACAAACAATAAGGGAATTTGATGAAACATGATTTTGTTTATAACATGTTACATTTTACAAAATAAACTAGTATTGAAGGACTCAACGATGTTCAATAGAGATAAACACCATTTTCTTTATATTTGATTTAATGAATTACAAATTTCTCGAACTTCGAACAGTAAATTTTCGTAATAGCTCATATCAAAAATGAATTCGACATAGATAACTGTTATTTGATAGTTATTGGGGTTTAGAATATTAAAAAAACACAAAGAGAAGTGTGAATACACTTTCGGTCAAATTGAGTCAATACAAATGATCGTAATATCAATGATAAATCAGATATAATAAGTTCTAACCTATAATATAAGGTTAACTGTCATCATAGACTGGTATCGGCTGAAGATCTATAGGAAACCATGAAACACTAAACAGTAGATAAATGTCAAGCGAAGGAAAACACACATAATGACTTTAGTCAATGACCATAAATAGTTTTTCCTCTACAGTTAGTCATTAAAGCTAAATAATTTACCCATATTAAACATAAAGTGACAGGTATTATACTTCAAATGAATATTTCATCATCAAATGTGATTCATATTCTCAGTCAGGCATTAATCTAGCTTTTGAGTTTTTTAAAAAGCTGCTTCCAAGAAGGTTTTATTCATTCTTTACATCATCAAAAATCCTTGCACGTAACATCCCCATGTAGTATTATTAACGTCAACTAATTGTACAATGATTCACCAATGTCTTTGTCCTGGGGAGCTCTACTTCAGTATGTATTTCATTAAAGTTTATTCCCGGAAACACGTCGAACAAATCAGTGTATGAGTTTCAAGCTCATTTCAAGACAATGATGAAGAAACTCGATTTTATTCACTTGTTCTATTCAGATTCTGAGCTCAATATTACTAATAATTCGACGTTTTCAACGGCATCTTTCCAGTCTAGGTAAATATAATAGTCAAGTCACACACAAGTAAGACTTAATATATGAACCTTTATATATAGTCTTCTCTTCACATTATTTAACTCAATTATTTTGAGAAAAGAAGCTAAACTTATCTGCTCAAATATTTCCACACCAGCATATCAGGTGTATTTTCGTTGTTTTATCTTATTTTTGTCACCGTAATTGGAGATATGTAGAAAAATCATTAGCATATTCGAATCGTAGAGTGTCAGTCAATTATGATATAACGACATAAATTTTTTTCAGGTCTGAACTCACATGCAGTAATAACAATGATAATTCGACACAGCTTTAAAAAGTGACTCGGCTGAGTATTATGAATCAAGGTTTGAAGATTTGCAATTAAAGGGTGTTTCGGGTTCATGAAATCACTGAGTGGAATGTGTCAAGTGATAAATAATATGGAGTGATTAAGTAGTGTCTTCTCTCGAAACTGGATCACCGACATAAGCGTCGAATGAGCTGATGTCAGAAAACATGATATTTGTCCAGCATAATAGTTTCTTTTCAAACGAAATAACATACTGATTTGAAAAGTATTAATTTGTAAACAAGCATGATTAAATATCACAAGAGACTGGAGGAAAGGTTACTTACTATCCAGTGAATAAAAAACTTTTTTACGTTACCTTTGTGACGTGTGATAATTACTCCGAATCAGTAAAGATTCCTTGATATGTTAGACACCAACTAAATTGTTATAGGAATAAGCTTCAGTGTTTTTTATCACAGTTCAATGAGAATAAGATTACTTTCTAACTACTTTTCAAATAATAGTAGAGATAATTAGAATTTTGGAAATTAGGGTAAAAAGGACACTCGATGGTATCACTAATCTTGTTCGTATCCCTTTTAGATCTATTAACAGAAACTCTGATAAGATGCCTGAATACGACGAGTAAGTTTTTGACCTTTGATTTTAGAAATCCATTTCACTTCATTGTTCGTCAAAAAGTTTCGCTTACAGATCAAGTTACCAACTCTAAGAACTGAGATGTTAATGCGAGTATTACGATACATTTTGCCACATGAATGAAACATTTCCTAGCATACTCCAAGGTGATTTTCCTTAAGAATTGACATCATTTATGTCAGGACCTGTTGGAATTTAATAATTTAATGCCGTATTTGATATTGGATGAGTAAGTTCAAGGAATGTCATGGTTAGTTTCCTAACCGTAATTATTTCCCGAAAGCTTCAATTTGAAAAAAGACATACATTGTCGTATAGTGTATGAAGAATAATTTTACCCGTAATCTCTAATGTTAAGATTGATAGTCGCGAAGAATAATGGTGAGCAATTTCCAATTAGAGTTACATTAGTCTTTAGCTAGCTTGAAATAGAGAGGTTGCTGTTGCCTAATGAATTATTTCTTCCTATTCGACTTTGCCAAACTCTTAATTAAAAGCTGAGAAACTACTGATTTTAATTTGTACTTACTTTGAAATTAGTTTAGTTTAGTCTATGTGATTTAGTTTGTAATTCATATAATCTGTTGTTTCTTCAGTACACATGTGATGCAAATGAAAATATTAGTACTTGTTAACAGATTTAACCCTTTTATGAAGGATTACAAAAGTAATCCAAACAATGTTTGTCCATGGATTATCATAAACGATCATACCAACATTTTCCTTTACCACATGTCTTAGCCAACTTCCCGATTTTCCACAGTAAGATGAACATTTTTAAATATGTTATTCTTACTCCGATAGTTAGCAATTTTTTTGATCAAATACGAAATGCCTAAATGGTTCTATTTGGAAAACTAAACATGGTATTAATGAAATGCTATACAACAGTACAACCTTGTAGGTGATTGAAAGTAATGATTTAATCGATGTATTATAGTTCCCACATTGATTGAAAAAGCTGAATTGTGCTCCGAAATAAATAACACTGCATCCTTTCTTTCTAATCTCCATCACACTCAAAATCTTCCTTTATGCATGAATAATACAGACACATTTTATTCAATACTATTACAGACGTCACAAAATCATACAGTTACAATAAATGTGGCAATTTCATGAATAAATCTTCTAGAAAGACCTAAACGAAAATAAAAACTGCTTTAACTTAAAGTGTCTTCATTAGTGGTGTTGATGTGATACCTCTGATAATATTCAGTGGTTACATTATTTTCACACTCAAGAGTACCTCATACCAGTATTAAGATAGAACGGAACATGAAAGCTGACAGAAATAGGCTTTTGAGCTGTGATTTACACAAGATGAATAGCTCGACATAACTGAACATTTGATAGTTCTAAATCCATCTGTCTACTCTTCAGTATTTTACAATTCCATTAATTGTGTTTCGTGTCTGAGAATTAAATTTCACTACTCTGTCCGTGTAAATTGCTCAGAGGTAATGTCCCGATCTATTTCAATATGGATCGTGTTTGTAAACAAACAACATGTTTTCCCATTTTATTAAATGGTAGTGGTAATGTTATTTTCAGCAGCGTTTATTGTATTACTATAATGATATTTTTTCTAAAATTATTTTAGGGTTCAAGCAGACTGCGATTTGTAGTTACGAAACTTTATTCTTCATGCAAGCTACAGTGAAACGTCTGAACTCTGTCTGACATACATATTATTTGGCAAACGATAGAATTAAGTTCAGTCGTTCTGTTTGTTGGGTTGTGGAATTCATCATCTGAATGTAGCCACAAGTGTAACTGTGATTATTCGTCTTGATCTCTAAACCGATCACTTTAAATAATAAAAAAATTACTAGATATAATACCTGGATCAAGTTACCATTTTTCTGGCTTCAATAAAACCAATGTCACATTTACAGAAAGATGTTAAACCAGTTTGGTATTTAATATTCTGAAAGTTATCAGTTGAATATTAGATACCGTCCCAATTAGCTCTTAATTTAATTTCACATTTGGAATGGAAGTATATGCTTGGTATTATTCAAAGCGTATAACTTTCTGTTTATATCAAGAAATCTAGTGGTCACACACACACACCATCTCTGATAATATATTTAAACCAATGTCATTTATTTACCCCTTAATCATTCTGTGAATTATAGTAAGCAATTAGAAGAAGAAGAGTAAGACTACTTATTCCACATCAGATTTTATAATATGCTTTTTCATTATCTAATCAAATCAAATCATATTTTTTCCTATTGTATATCTAAAAAAAAATACGATATAATACAGTGTTATGGAAACTGAAGGATAAACCTGATTCTCCGAAGACTATTTATCTTCCATAAAAATGAAATAACTTCTTATTTTGATTCCATTACACGAATTTTCTACATCTTTCGTGTTTATCACTTATATTACTATAGAGATTACAGTTTGTTATTTATTTTCAGTATGAGGTTGTGGAGATCATTAAGTTATTGATTGAGATCTTGAACCAGTTGACGTTAGACCACGATTGAGAACCTGGAAGCACTAGACGGCCGTTTCGTCCTATTGTGGGACTCCTCAGCGGTGCGCATCCACGATCCCGCTCGCGGGATTCAAACCCAGCACCTTCAGTTTCAGAAGATGTCCGCGCAATTTCGTGGATTGGTGGAGGTTAGACATTAACACCGTCGGATGCCGTCTCAGTGGTCAAGTAGGTTGAGCGTTCATGCGCGAGACCGCAGGCTCTGGGTTCGAATCCCGTGAGAGGGATTGTGGGTGCGTACTGTTACTTATTCCACTGTGCATATATTCGATTTAATCTGAATAAACATTTAGATGACTACTTTTGTTTGCATACACCACAACGAACAGTAGTCCATTTTCATGAACGTTCAAATAATCTTTCATCCCATAGATAATCGAATTACTTAGACCATTGTAATTCAAATGAGTGAATTAGATGTATTATCGTTATTATTGAATGACATTACTTTGATTTATAATGAAGATAAAACAAATTAGCAAGTTTTCTGATGATAAATATTTGAATAGTTTTCCAGCAATCAAGAAAATACAAACTAATTATATTATTATGTAATTCAGAAGTTAATTCTATTGACATTGTTACTAACTGGAAAGATTCCGAAAGGAGCTGTGTACAGATTGTAGATGATCTATGAAAAGTGATTTCAATTTAAGAACTATTAGAAGGGATTGAGTAACCTTTAACAGGGCACAATATCTTATTTGAAATGTTATGCGCTTGTTTATGGTATATTGCTCTGAACATGTTTTATCGGTTATTAGTTTTAAAAATCAACAGATTCACAGAATGAAAATTTTATCATTTCATTAATTAATATTTGGCTGTTAAATTTCACTTACATAAAACCTCATTTAGGCCAGTATATTAATTATTCTTTGTTCACTTCAGGAGCCCATTTCACAGATTTTCTGAACTGTAAGTTGCAGACTGACTTGGCTTTTTTTATAGAACTAATTAGTGTACATTCAGCCATGCGTATATATATTGTATGATTGATTTTAGCTTAAGTGATGACATTATTTAAACCGAATTATAACGACTGACTTTGAAAACATTGATGGAATGAACATCGTAGTGCAAAATGTCTACTCAATAAACTAGTTTCTTCGTTAGTGAATAAATCATACATTCATACTGTAAATGTTAATCATGTGGAACATTATTTGACGATTATTTAAACACGAATGACTCTGAAAGACTTTGTAGACCACACAATGGACAATGAATTCAAGTTCTGACAATGAAGGCTAATATCTCTTTCTTGAATCTATTTTCATCGTAGGCTTAATTCTGGATCTGTGTAAGTTTTCATTGATGTTTACTGTTTTTTTGAGATCGTAATTTCTTTTATCGATAAAATAAGTCATTTAACAATAACAGGATACAATATGAATGATAATAAATGTACCTCAGTAATCTGATTGTGTTTTATCACTAGTTACATACGTGATATTGTGAATGAGGAAACCTTACTTTTGTGGTATACTAAACAACAAAGTGTATCGTATTTGAGAAGGATGTTTATTCGCAAGCCAGATAAGAGAAACTGTGATATGATTTCTACTCATTGAATTTATTTATATGTCAGTACCTCCAGTCATTGTATAATTTGATTGGCATTTTGTAAACAGACAAGACAATGTGACAATTCGACATTCTTTTTTTTAATGATTGAGATCATGAGTCATTTGAAGTTAGACCACCATGGGAAACCTGGAAACACTGGACTGCCGTTTCGTCCTATTGTGGGGAGCCTCAGCAGTGCGCATCCACAATCCCGCCTCTCGAGATTCAAACCCAGGAGCGCGAGCGCCTAACTACTAAACCACTGAGCCAGTATCCAACGGTGTTAATGTCTAGCTTTGGCTAATCCACGAAATTGAGCGACACGTCAACCCTTTGTCATCAGTGAGTTACTATCTCACAACAGACCCGGTTGAACTCAACTGGTCACTGCTTCTCACTAGAACTCCAGGATATACCTCTTGAAGTCAGACGACATTCATTTGAAAACTTTCACAGAGACTATAACTTCACTTATATTTATTGGATATCCCCATTTTATTTAATCATAACGGAAATTATTATTAGGAAAGCATACTGCCGACCATTTCGAATTTGACCACAGTGATGAGGAATATTCATTCTAATTTTCAAAATATTTACACAACATAGCCTACCATTGTGGTTGGTGAAGTGAGTGAAATTTTTTTAACTAGTATTAAATTAGTTTAAAAGTTTTATGTTAATAATATTATTAACATCACGTACTGATCTTTATAATAGGGGGATTGAGTATCAGGAAGCATTGGCTACCTGTCTCGTCACAGTTTGTGATCTCTAAACTGTACGCATTCACCACCGAAACTAGCACCTACGGTTTTAAAGTTCCATGCTATGAAGAAACAGCTGTTCAGTGATTTATGGTTATTTTTAGTCACTTAAAAAGGATTAGTCACTGGTGTTAACTATAAGAAGTGGAAAATCTCCATTAAGCCTCCTATAGTAATTTAATGTCAGTTTGTGTATTAAATCACTTGCATTGTAAAATAGCATATGAGGAAAGTGTTAAAATCAAATTATATTGATAGATAATAGGAAGGTTCTATGGAATTCGTAAATGTTGAATTTATTTCAGCAAGATAGCAGATTATATTTGCTCCCCTCTTATTTTTCTCTAAAAATATTAATTCCTTATCTTTAGCCCAATGTACTATGTATTTGAGTAAGTTTTATTTCGAAACAACTTAAATCAAAATATACAACAAGTTAACAAATTAGTTTCTAAATTATGTTTTATACTGATTGGTTATTTTTAGATTATTCCTTCTTAAATATTAACAGATTCGGCAAATCAATTCAGCCTTCATTATCGCTTCTGCCAGTGTTCAGTTATGAATTATTTATAGATTCTTCCATTGAATGATTTTAATGAATGTATTAAAATTCATATTATTATTATATATTAGTTTATTTAAGGTTTTTCTAATCGAATCCAGTACACATATATTTTGTCTAAAACATAAAAATATTCAGTAATATCAGAAGGGTTTTATTGGAGATTGTAGTAATTTCAATAGTTGAGATCAAGAGTCAATTGAAGTTAGACCGCCATGGAAAATCTAGAAGCACTGGACGGCCGTCTCATTCTATTGTGGGACTCTTGAGCAGTGCGCATCCACGATCTCCCATTACGGGGTTCGAACTCAGGACCTATCAGTCTCGCGCGTGAGCGCCTCATCACTAGACCACTGAGTCGGCATCCAACGGTGTTAATGTTTAGCTTCAACTAATCCACGGGCGTTCAGTGCTTCCAGGTTTTCCATTGTGGTCTAGCTTCAATTGACTCATATTCTTAAATATTCAGTAATATTTACATTTTAGTATTTACACTTAAATTATTAACTTCACCATTAAAATATTTGATTTACAATAATGAAATAATACTCATTGAGTGGATACGCTACGTAATAATTATATAATGGAATATAGATTATAAATTAACATTGAATAATTGAAAGAAAAAGGATTAATAATGATCAAAGTAATTATCTGAAAATTAAGCAGTTGCTAGGATGCATAATATATATTAAAAAAGAGAAGGAACTAACAAAATATTTTGATGAATGGTCAGCAGTATAGTAGTTATGTAAGAATCAAGAGACGAATGTTGAGAATAAGCAAAATACGAAAAATGGAAGAAATACGAAAACAGTTTATCAAAGGTTCTGCTACAAACTCCCGTATACCGATGGCCAAGATAGCGAGAGTGATTGTACAGACTTCTTTTGGATGCAAAGTTTATATTTGTGAACATGGATTGTAATGGCTTCAACAATGTGCAAAAGACGCACTTGTAAATCATGTGATAAATTTGATGGAATAACCTTAAAGGCTTTGTTCAGTTCAACTTGATGACCTGTGTCCACCAAGTAAGCGAGAATAGAACTCGTAGTCACTCTTATCTGTCCTTTGCTCAACCATGGAGGATGGTGTTCTGTTATACAACGACGAATTTGCCGAATTGTACGTCCTATATAACTGGCTCTACAGGAGCATTTGAATCAATAAATACACATAGATGTGGCAAATTCAGGTAATCTGTCATTATTAGTCGTTCTTATTGTGAGGCACTTGTAGAAGATGGTAGACAGTTTGGCTGCATTAAATGTTTTTTGTACCGCCTTTCATCAAAATATTTTGGCAGTTCCTTCTCTTTTTTTCATATATTATGCGACGTAGCAACTGCTTACTTTTCGAATAATTACTTTGATCATTATTAATCCTCTTTCTTCCAATTATTCAATGTTAATTTATAATCGATATGTCACTATATAAAATACATATATCTATTATATTAAGTCTGTTTTAAGATTTCTCATTTCATGAGATGGCTAGTGTTATTTTCATTACTGAGTATAACAAGCAGTATAAGGATTTTATATAGAAAATAATAAACGAAACAGTAAATCAGAGGAATAAACTCCTTATCATAATTTTCGCTGAACAATCATTGTATTCATGACAAACTATCTGTTTATATTAATTTCTAAGAGTGTTCGCAAGGACTGTATCATGTAAGTTGAAAGATATTAATTTGTTTTAGTGAATACTCTAAACTGATTAGACTGATTGATTTCATTGTATAGGAGTTATATGGATGGTTGTAATAAAATTAGTAACTGGATAAAATCAATGATTGTACTATTGCAATAATTTGATCCATAAATTAAACTTTCTTTCAAGTGTCTACTATGAATAATTCTGAAGTTCAGATCTAGTCACTTCATAAAATGTTTTACAGTCTTATAACATTTATTGACTGAATCATTTCTTATAATACAAAAATCATACCATATACAATAGGATGATATAAAATGTCATCAATATAAGCAACATGACTGATAGTATTATGTAAAAGATAACTAATCATTATTAGACACCAAAGTCTACATCACATAATAATTGAAAAAAGGATTTACTCATAGATGAATAACTAAATTTCTCAGATTGAAATCATGAGTCATTTGAAGCTAGACCACAATGGAAAACCTGGAAGCCCTGGACGGCCGTGGATTAGTTGAAGTTAAACATTAACACCGTTGGATGCTGACTCAGTGGTCTAGTGGTGAGGCGCTCACGCGCGAGACTAATAGGTCCTGAGTTCGAACCCCGAAATGGGAGATCGTGGGTGTGCACTGCTCAAGAGTCCCACAATAGGATGAGACGACCATCCAGTGCTTCCAGATTTTCCATGGTGGTCTAGGTTCAATTGACTCATGATTTCAATCTCCACAAACCCCTTCTGATAATTAAATTTCTCCTATGGATTTATTGTTTTTCATCGATTACATTATATCTTTATGTTCAATTCTTTAGATTACATAAACTAAATTCGAACGGATGAAAATATGTTGAATGATATCAATATGATACACATTGACCGATTCAAATAAAATATCATTTTTGAATTTATCATCATCATAGTTATTTTTTTTCTCCCAAAGTAATACATCTTGTATTGAATTAGTTGAGAGGTATAATGTTAAAACAGTTCAGTAACTAGAAATAAGGTAGAAAATAATGAAAATGTTTTATGGCTTATCATATAAATGTATTTCGATGTAAAGGCTTGTAACTCGTCATATATTTTTGTTTATTATACATGAGCAAACTTTACATTATATATAAATATAAAGTTTTCGAATCACATATAAATATAGATGTTGTTAGTAGTATAAGTCTTTTCCATCATATATCCCATTTCATACACATAAATCCCTTTATCATTTTGAAAAGAGTAAGAATAAAGAGTCTAGCAGAATAGCATGAATTTCTTTTATTTTATAGGTTCTCATCGGTTGCTTACAACATGAAAGGTTTGGTTGGAAGTTATATTGAAGATATATTCGTACACCATTGTTATACTATACGAATATGTCTTCAATAAAACTTCCAACCAAACCTCTTATATTGTAAGCAACTGACGAGAACCTATAAAATAAAATGAATTCATGATATATCCAATTTGTCAACTCAAAAGAAATATAACCTACTAAACAAATATTCAATGAAATATCATCAGTTTATGGAAACGTGTATTTTTCATATGTTATCTAAATAGTCATTAAATTATCAGATTACCATTTGATTCAACATGGTAGAATTAAATAAAATCATTACAATCGAACATTTGATATTCTTCTACTATTGTCGATTACGATTAAAAAACAAAACAAAATATCCTACAATAGTTTATATGTAATTTATAAAAGCTACAACTAAATACATTGACTAACTATCATTGTATATTATTTGATATTTTATACAATAATTTGAAAAATAAATGATGGATTACAAAGGCGAAAAGATAATGTACTTCCAATGTGTATTTGTATATTATTCACTCGTAAAAAACTTTATCCTATGAATCATTCTCTTAGAAAATAAACACAGAAATAATATGAAGAATAAAAATAAGTATTGTTTTCCAATATTTAATGAACAGTATAGGGGTTGTGGAGATTATAAGGTTTTTGATTGAGATCATGAACCGATTGATGTTAAACCATCGTTGGAAACCTGGAAGTACTGGACGGCCATTTCGTCCTATTGTGGGACTTCTCAGCGGTTCGAATCTCGCGGGGCGCAGGATCGTGGATGCGCACAAATGTCGAGTGTTCTTCTGTATGAAGCGAAAACCTGGAGAACTACGAAATCCATCATCCAGAAGATAAAAGTGTTTATTAACAGTTGTCTTCGCAAAATTCTTCCGATCCGTTGACCAGACACTATCAGCAACAACCTGCTGTGGGGGGAGAACAAACCAGATCCTAGCGGAGGGAGAAATCAGGAAGAGGTGCTGGAAGTGGATAGGACACGGATTGAAGAAAGCACACAACTGCATCACAAGGCAAGCCCTGACTTGGAATCCTCAAGGCCAAAAGAAAAAAGGAATACCAAAGAACACATTACGCCAAGAAATAGAGACAGAGATGAGAAAAATGAGCAAAAATTAGACAGAGCTGGAAAGGAAGACCCAGGACAGAGTTGGTTAGAGAAAACTGGTCGGCGACCTATGCTCCATCGGGAGTAATAGGCGTAAGTAAGTAAGTAAGTAAGTAAGTAAGCTGTCCACTACATAGGGGGCACATGTTAGAGGTTGTACGTATGTCTAACCATAAGCCTGCCAAGACCGACGTTAGTAGCAGATTTCCTAAAAGAAGTAATAGCGACGATTGACTTAACAAGCAACAAGATGGTCACGAAGTACGGCTCATTCTCAGTGAATAAAAGTAGCGAAGTGGCCAAAATGAGAGTAGCAACAGACATTCCGACGAAGGAACTAAATAATAACGAATTGTTCATAAGGTGTACGAAACTGTACACGGGAGACGAAGAGCCGTACGGATTTTGTGACAAAGTAAAGCATGAAATGCCGGTAAAGAACGATCGAGTAACTATATCTGTGTCTAGAGGCTGAGGTTAGTCGACAAGTCCAGATGTTGAAGTAAAGTGTAATTGAAGAGGAGGACGGCCCATTTAGCTTTCCAGTATTTATAAAGAAACCGAATGTAAAGTACGGGTTCTGTGTCGATTTTTAAGAGCCGAATAACATAACAGAGCTGAAACCATGTGCGATGCCAACAGTATCAGAATGCCACAGTGTTTACAGTACTGGATTTACGGTCAGGTTATTGGCAGCTGCCGATAGTAGAGCGATCAAAACAAGACAGCACTTACCGTGCGTGATAAGCGGTATCAATTTATACGAACGCGGTTTGGGTTGGCAGGCGCACCGTTAACGTTCAGAAGATTGGCGACGCTGCTGCTCGAAGAGATAGAGAACGTCAGGGTGTATGACGACGACTTAGCTGTGTACAGCCATACAGATTAAGATCACGTAAAGCATGTGGAAGTGATCCTAAGGAGAATTGAAGAACTTAGACTACGAATTAATAAGGATAAGTCGCAGATGGCGAGGAGTGGCATCGTGTTGTTGGGGTATAAATTGAGAAATGGAAAGGTGAAACGGCTGCCGGAGAAAATTTTAACCATAAAGAACATTGCAGTACCTGAT